ACTCCCTCAGCCTATTTAAGGAGGAATGCCGATTGCAGCAAGTTGTAGAGAACAACTTTAGTTCACTCTTCTTCCTGTCTGCAAAACTGCTTCTGGGCTTTCTGCCAACTCTAGTAAGACTGATTACCTTATCTTAGAATTCTGGTAGGCTGTTAAGACAGTTCATTAACAGCCTTTGAATGATAAAGACTAAGTTATTTTGAGTAAATAAGCTTTGTATAGAGTTTGTGTGTGCTGCGTTCCTTGGGATCCGTAGCTGGGGCAGAACAGAGTATGAGTTCTAGTCCCACGCCTTAGTCACAAAGCCAGCTGGGTGACCTTGGGCCGGTCACTCTCTCTCAGCCATAGGAAGGAGGCAATGGCAAACCACTTCTGAAAAACCTTGCCAAGAAAACTGCCGGGACTATTCCAGAACAGTCTCCAAAAATGGGATGTGATTGAACAAAAAACAAACGAATTGCAATAATATGAGTCATACGATATGTTAATTGTGGAGTCCTTAGTGCTCTCCAAGCTTGGTTATTTGCTTGCCGACATTTCGTTACCTGACTGGGTAACATCATCAGTGCAAGGGAGTGTGGTGCCGGCTCCCTGTTTACATACAGTATCTTCCCTTGCGGCGTTAGTGGGGTTTGGATTGATCCTTGGTACTACCTTGATTAGAATATTGTTTTCTGCTTGATTGTTTGGCTGGTGTTAATCCCTGCTTATCTGGGTGTAGGCTGCTGGAAAAGATTTGTTCTGGTCTTTTTGTTTCCTTCTCGGCTTTTCTAGTGTCTCTTTTGAATGGTGTGTAAATGTGGTTTATCTCTACCTGCCTGTTGATGGCTGATTTGTCTGAATGCCCAGTTTTTCAAGACATCTGCATCATTTTTTGGATTTTGCTTTATTTAAGATGCTCATGGTTTCCCAGATGAAACTATGATCGAGCCTGTCCATGTATTATGAGATTAAAATGCTTTCATCATGCCTTCTGACTGTGGTCCTATGCAGTGACCATTACAGTCTGTTGGAAGTAATATCCATCTGGTTCAGTTCCAAGTGGGGAGAAAGGCACTGGAGACAAAATGGAGGCTGAAGGCTGATTGGAAAGAGGGTCCATTTATTGATGAAGCAGAACCACCAAGCACATGTGATTCTGGGCAGCTGACCACATGGAGTTGAGAGTGGGGGGTATTTATACCTTCTCTTCGGCTTTGAACTTGAGCTTCCTGTTCCTATGCAAGAACATGTATTCTACTGGCTGTTGTCAGACTCCCATGGTGCCATGTACAAATCCTAGGAGTTTGTCTGAGCTAGGTTTGATTGAAGTTTGGGCTGATGCAATGAAGAGGCTTGTTGGGCAATTCCTATTGTGGCTGAGGGCTAATCCTACCTTTGTTCAGACCTTGCTGCAGGGAATTTGCTTATGAATAGAGCTATCTATCTCGTTCTCTCTTAAGTGCTGACATCTGCTGAGAGCTATTAAGAAAGGTGGAGGCTGCTTTCTGTCTCCAAGAGCATATTTCTCCCTTTAAAGGTAAAGGTAAAGGTTCCCCTCACACATATGTGCTAATCATTCCTGACTTTAGGGGGCGTTTCAAACTCATCTCCGTTTCAAAGCCGAAGAGCCAGTGCTGTCCGAAGTTGTCTCCGTGGTCATGTGGCCGGCATGACTCACTGCCAAAGGCGCACGGAATGCTGTTATCTTCCCACCAAACGTGGGTTCCTATTTTTCTACTTGCATTTTTTACCTGCTTTTGAACTGCTAGGTTGGCAGAAGCTGGGACAAGTCACGGGAGCTCACCCCATTACGCGGCACTAGGGATTCGAACCGCTGAACTGCCGACCTTTCGATCGACAAGCTCAGCATCTTTAGCTACTGAGCCACCATGTCCCTTTTTCCCTTTAGGAAAATATAATATTCTGCCTTTTTAATATTTCTCAAAATATTTCATTCTTCTAGGAGACGGGGTGGGTGTTAACTTTCTACAAGTCCTTACACTGTATGTTGAAGAAGATTCTTATTTTTCTTCTTCTTCTTGGTGTGCTACAATGATGCCACATGGTTGTAATTGTCTTTAGGTTGTGTTGGAAGAAATGTCCATCTGGGTTCAGTTTCAAGTGGGGGGAAAAGACACTGGATTCATGGAAGTTGCTTGGAAAGATTTATCGATGAATAGGATCACATGGCTTGACTTCCTGAGCAGAAAAAAGGCAGAGATGCTGAGAGTGCCTTGATTTTATGACCTCTGTTGGGCTTTGAATTTGAGTTTGCATTCTGATTGGTTGTCAGATTCCCATGAGGCCATGCAGGGGCTGTCCTGAGTCCCAAGCTTGGTTGAGCCTTGCTGGGTGATCTTGCATCTTCCCAGGTGCCATGTGGTGAGATGGGTAGAGGGCTAATCCTATCTTGTCCTGAGGCCCATGTCTTAATCCCATCACCCTGGAGCTGAAGGTCTTTTGTGTTGTAGATAAGATGTCTTTTGCCTTTCTGGGGCTATTAACAAAGGTGGGGGCTGCTTTCCAAGAGCATGTTTCTCCTTTTCTCATCCAGGGAGGTATAACATTCTGCCTTTTAAACTATTTCCTAGAATATTTCATTTTTCTAGGAGAGGGGTGGGTGCTAACTTCCTACACGTCCAAGATATGGAAAGTTGTTGAACATTTTGTAGGTTGTCTTTTGAGTCCCAGGCTTGGTTGAGTCTTGCTGGGTGATGCAATCTTCCCAGGTGCCATGTGGTGAGTTTCTGCTACTAGATGGGTCCTATTGTGCTAGTTTCTGTTGCTAGATGGGTCCTATTGTGTTGCAGATGATGGTCCATTGACAAAGATTGAGTTTCTGCCTCTGGCCCATTGACAAAGGGTGGGGGCAGGAAGATGGGAGCTGCTTCATCTTTAAAACATGCTTCTCCATTTCTCATCCAGGGAAACATAATATTCTGCCTTTTTAATATTTCCCAAAATATTTCATTCCTCTAGGAACGGGGTGGGTGCTAATTTCCTACACTACAGTTGCTTCTGAGATGTTTTGATAGTGTTATCCTTTTCATTGTGTTTGGTTGTGCTATACTGGGTTGAGTGGTCCAGCACTTTTTGATAGAGTTATGCGGGTATCAAAAATGATAGGTATAAACAAAAAAAAATGATTAAAAGTGTCTGATATTTTGAGTTTAAAAAAAGAATAAATCAGGGAAGCCACAGGATTCCATGATGGCTTAGTGGAATCTCTGAATCTAGCTATTCTCTCTGTACTAATCCATGGCTGTAATAGATGATATGATTGACCTAGTTTGAAAAAATTACTTTGCCAGAAGCACATAATCACAGATTTTCCCCAGTTAAACTCATAATGGCCCTTTGGATGACTTTCAGTTCCTTTAAAAAAAAATGGAGAAAAAAATGTACAGAAGTCTCTGGTGGCCCCACTCAAGGGAGGCTTATCAACCCCCAACCCCATTCTTCCCCTATTCCAGATCTTATATAGTCAAAATAGGAGGGAAATGGGACTGGAGGCTAAAACATAGGAAGAACGGTTGCAGGAACTGGGTATGTCTAGTTTAATGAAAAGAAAGACTAAGGGAGACAGGATAACAGTGTTCCAATATCTCGGTGGCTGCCCCAAAGAAGAGGGAGTCAAGCTCTTCTCCAAAGCACCTGAGGGCAGGACAAGAAGCAATGGGTGGAAACTAATCAAGGAGAAAAGCAACTTAGAACTAAGGAGGAATTTCCTGACAGTTAGGACAATTAATCAGTGGAACAACTTGCCTCCAGAAGTTGTGAATGCGCCAACACTGGAAGTTTTTAAGAAGAGATTGGATGACCAGTTGTCTGAAGTGGTGTAGGGTTTCCTGCCTAAGCAGGGGGTTGGACTAAAAGACCTCCAAAGTCCCTTCCAACTCTGTTTATTCTATTCTATTCTATTCTATTCTATTCTATTCTATTCTATTCTACATTCCCATTCCCATTCCCATTCCCATTCCCATTCCTATTCCTATTCCTATTCTTATTCTAAATGTCACCAACAGAGAAAGAGTTCCTAGAGCTGCCCCATTTTCTCTGGGCTGGTTTAGGATTTCATCTCTCTGATGTCAGCTGCAAGAGAGGTTTCCCAATCCATCTTTCCTGACTTGACCAGGAGGGTTAGCTGAACCCAAAGCAACCCACAACTGCTGCCTGGTTTGTGGCATTCCCACACGGCACGCTTACCTTGCCCACTTCCCATTAAGCATATTATCTTGAACACCACAGAGCATCGATTCATAGGAGGGAGCCTGCAGGAAACTTAGCAGAATCTCAGATTTTGGAAAGCTTTAGGAGAAAGAAAAATAAATTCTAAAAAAGGGGGCTATGGATGTGGTTTTTTTAGTGACGGATGATTTGACAGAAGGACAGATGTTTCCTATCCAGGGCCAATCCAGCAACTGACCGAAGGTTTTGTGCCACCTAATTCAACCCAGAAGCGGCAGCCCTAAAGGGATGTGAGCCATCAAATGCTAGCTTCTGCAGAAAGGAGCCAAGAGATGGTTCACAGCATCGGCGAAGGGAGAAATAATATAATCCTTTGCATGCTCCGAGGCTTGGTGTTTGGACAGGCATAGCTGTTGGCATCGCGATCTAGCACGGGCAAGGAAGGGGATACCTACCTCTCCCCAACTCGTACGGACAAAACCATTTCGGGGGGAAACCCCCCCCCCAAAACTACCGGTTAACACGGGGGTTGAGCAAGATAACCCAGCAGCGCCGTTCCATCTCCCTCTTTGTCTTGCAGGGGGAGGAAGACAGGATGGAGAGATCTCCCCCCCCCCCCCCCCCGCCGGGGGGCCCCCTCCCCCACCCCGGACGCCCCCCCCCCCCCCCTCCCCCCCCTCCCCCCCCACCCAATATGCCACGTGACTTCGCCCCTGCGCTGTGCGCGGGGAGCGAGGCAAGAGAGGGCCAGCAACCGAGCCCATCACCCCCGCGCACGCAGGCGTGCGAGGACGCGCGCAAGGGGAGGCAGGCGGGCAGGCAGGCAGGCAGGCAACCACCGCGCAGGATCGCATCCCCTCCTCACCTTCGCCGCCTCCCTCCCTCCCCCCTCCCCAACCCTGACACTCGTTCCAGCTGTGGGCGCATCCCGTTCACCACCTCTCCCTCTTCTGCCCAAGCTGGCTGGCCTTGCGTCGGCGCTGTGTCCTTGCTTCTGGGTGCCCCCCCTCCCCTCCCCTCCCCTCCCTACTCCGCCCGGGCGTGCCTCACCCCCCTTCATCGTCAGCCAAGGGGGTCCTCAGCCCCTTCCCCTTTCTAGAGCCTCCAAGAGAGACACGGTCTGAGAAGGGGGTCTGAGAAACAGACGCCGAAGGAGAAGGTGGTACAGCGGCGGCTGCTTGGAACGCCGTGGTGCTGAAACGGACAGCTCCTTGTCACCGGCAATGCGTTGACTCGCCTTGGGCTGCCCCCTTCCTCTCTCGCATCCAGAAGTCGTGGGAAGGGGAATATCTCAGGACTTCCTACTGCCCTCTTTCTCCCACCCCCATTCCCCAGCTGTCCCCCTTCCTCCTCCTCAGCCCTTCCTTCCACCATCCACGGGCAGGGACTGCTTGCCTCGGATGCTGCCGCAGCTTCCCAAAGCTGCCATGCCTTGACATCCTTCTTGACCCAGCAGCTTCCATGGCGGTTGCCAGGAAAATCAAAACTTTATTGACGGTGAACATTTTGGTTTTCGTGGGCATCATCCTTTTCTCGGTCTACTGCAGGATCCAGGACCGCTCCCAGGAGCTGGTGCAAATCGTCCGGAACGCCGACCGACGGATGAGGGGACGGAATGCCAAAGTGGGAGCTGTGCTGGACAGGGAAGCCATCCTGCAACGGTTGGATCATCTGGAGGAAGTGGTGTACAACCAACTCAATGGTGAGGAAGGGAGGGGAGCATCGGGGCAGTTGGCTGAGCAAATTTGGGGGAGGGGGAGGGGAGATTTGATTGCTGAATAGTGCTACCTAATAGCTTGCTAAAGGTATGAAAATGTGAGTCAGAGACACGGTGTTCATATGCACATTGTGGAGTTTTCTAAAGCTTGGACAGGCTGTAATATCTTCTATCCAGTCACTGAATTGACTAAGGTTGAGCAAAAGTGGATTAAAACATGGGAATTTCAGACCCATGTCCCTTCTGGGCATTATTTATTCTGGAATTCCATGTTGAGCTGGCACTAAACTTTTAACAAGAGGAGCTAAGTTGGGGTTAATGCAGTAATTCTGACTTGCTATCAATTATTTTTTAAATGCCCCTGCAAACAATCTGGATAACCAACAAAACTCAAACTATACGTAGCCAAATCTACATCAGCAGGTTTATTTTACCATTTCAGTTTGTTCCAAGGAGATTTTCATTCAATTTGGCCGGAGGACTAGAGTTACAATTCAAAAATCTGTGGCCAGCTCCTCACACATTACTGGGTCCGTGTCTTTTGGTGGTCTCACCTAATGTAACTTCTCAGCCTTCATTTCCTCTCTGTAAAACGGGCTTGTATGTAAAGGTGCACTCCTTGGTTTCTCATTGCATGGACTGTGTACATCTCTGTGTACATGAACTGAATTTGCAGAATTGAGAGCATGTTTGGAGAAGGGAAGATACTGAGATCTTGTAATGTGGAGTTGTGGAGACCGGCTGTTTTATGCCATTGATAAGGACACCTTCCCTTGGTGGTGGAAGATACAAAGGGAAAGGATGGGCTCATTTGGTTTGGGGTGTGGTCCCATTACCATCAAGGCTCATCCCATTGATGCTTGGTGATGAAATGAAGGTAGAACATGGGATGTTGTCTTGTTGGGACAATGATGTGTTTGACTGAGTAACCATTGCCAAGCAATAGGGGGGAGGGGGAGGGAGGATACAAATTTTGCCTAAGTCCCTTCCCTCAAAGTGACTCCACACCAGCTGCTCCTTGGTATTCACAGTTCTTTTGCCAACACCACAGACGAACCCATCTGTTTGAAGCAATGCAGTAGGATTACTTTGTGGCAGCTCCTTCACACTGTCTTAGCTGGTGGCTTGATGCTATAAGATGAGAAGAGCTGTGTGTGAGAACAGCTGGTCATCGTTAAAAAGTTGGAGATGACTACAAAAACCAGGCTCCATGGTGGGCCAAAGCACGTGGACGCTTAGCCCAAATTACTTGAACAGAGGCCCAGGGAACTAAAAGGAAGAAATATTTAATTCTGAAGCCACTTTTTTTTTTTAATGACTAATGGTGTCCTTTCGGTTGTGTCTCCAGAGCCAATGAATGCCATAAAGCACTTTTCAAGTTCTAAAACTGGATTAACAGGAACAGATTGGACTGCTATATTAGCAGTAAAATTATCCTGCTTTCTGCTGTTCTTCAGCAGTTCTTTAACCTATTAGCTACCATTACTGTTCCTAGTTCACATGAGGGCAAATGTAAGCTTTTCCAGTTTCTTATTCTGTCACCCCTCCTCTTACACTACCTGGAAGAGGGTGACAGATAACAGATTAACAGAGTTGGAAGGTACCTTATAGGTCATCTAGTCCAACCCCCCGCCTAAGCAGGAGTCCCTACACCATTTCTGACAAATGGCCGTCCAATCTTTTCTTGAAAGCTTCCAATGATGAAGCTCCGACAACTTTTGAAGGCAACTTCTGTTCCATTGATTGATTGATCTCACTGTCAGGAAATTCCTCCTTATTTCCAGGTTGAATCTCTCCTTGATCGGTTTCCATCCATTATTCCTTGCCTGGCCTTCAGGTGCTTTGGAAAATAGCTTGACCCCCTTCCTCCTCTCTGTGGCAGCCCCTGAGATATTGGAAGATGCTATCCTGTCTCCCCTGGTCCTTCTCTTCACTAGACTAGCCATGCCCAGTTCCTGCAACCCTTCTTCATATGTCTTAGCTTCCAGTCCCCTGATCATCCTGTTACTCTTCTCTGCACCCTTTCTAGAGTCTCAACATCTTTTTTATAGTGTGGTGACCAAAACTGTTGTTTAATAATAATTAAAAAAAACACTAATTTGATGTATATAAATTAAATCCCGGTTATTGCATGGTTTAAATCAAGCTGACCCAAACTATTGGTCCTACTCTCTCTCTCTCTCTCTCTTTTTAAATGTCCACTATTTGATAGGAGCGTTTGATTTTACAGTTCAATATAAAAGCTTAAGACACATCATACTTCAATGATGTCTGTGGAGATTCTCAGCATAGTTGTTCCAAAGGTGCTTTTTTCAGGAGGCAACTGGACTTTCTTGTTTTTCTTTGAAGACGTTTCCCTTCTCATCCAAGAAGCTTCTTCCGTTCTGACTGGATCATGGGGAAGGGAAGGATTTATATTCCTTGCAGTCAGCTGGTCATTTGCATCCTTTTAGAGGGTCATTGAGGTCACTTGGAGGTTTATCTGTGTCCTCAGGGTCACCTGCGTGGTGCAAATGAGTGTGGAGCCTTCTTGGAACTGCTGAACGGACTGTGTTGTAGACTGGAGACAGACGATGTCATATCCCTCCCCCTCCGTTGAGAGAGAGCTGTTCACTTTTGACATAGATGGCCTCTTTGACCCCTCTTTCAGCCCATTTGCACTTGGGTGAGAAGTGAAACGTCTTCAAAGAAAAACAAAGCCCAGTTGTCTCTTGAAAAAGCACCTTTGGGACATACTTCAATGATACTTCGCAAAAGTTTGAGAGGCATTTATAAGACGAAGTATCCTACTTCAGGCTCAGTCACAATTAAACTGGTGTAGGGCTGTGTAAAGCGCACCGATTCAAATGAGAATTGGGAGCATCGGAGCTACTCATGTCACAGTTGTGTCAGGCATAAAATGGAGGAACATCTCAAACAGGCAATGATTACCATGAAGAATTGGTCCCTTTCCTATTTCTGGGGCACACAGTGCGATGTGTCTCGCCATTCAGTTGCCAGCTTGCTTCCATCCCTTTTTAATTGACAAACAAAAATCAGTTTATTGAATAGGTTTTCCAAGGTAGGTTTGATGGTTTCTAAATGATGGGTAAAAAATTCACGTTAAAAATGCAAGTAGAAAAATAGGGACCACCTTTGGTGGGATGGTAACAGCGTTCTGTGCGCCTCTGGCATTGAGTCATACCGGGCACGGGTACCAGGAAGGGAGGGAGGGAGGGAGGGAGGGAGGGAGGGAGGGAGGGAGGAAGGAAGGAAGGAAGGAAGGAAGGAAGGAAGGAAGGAAGGAAGGAAGGAAGGAAGGGCAAAAGCAACAGCACTTATATACGGGCTTCACAGTGCTTTTACAGCTCTCTCTAAGTGGTTTAGAGAGTCAGCCTCTTGCCCCCAACCATCTGGGTCCTCGTTTTACCCACCTTGGAAGGATGGAAAGGCTGAGTCAACCTTGACCCTGGTGAGATTCAAACTGCCAAATTGCAGCCAGCCAGCCAGCAGTCAGCAGAAGCAGCCTGCAGTACTGCACTCTAACCACTGCACCACCACAGCTCTTTATTCTCTTGTTGTAGAGACTGGAAGTTGAATTCTTACATTTGGGGAATTATAGGTTATGACCGTTTTTCGCGTTTAAGACCATTGTAGCATCCCCAGGTCACGTAATCAAAATTCAGACACTTGGCTTCAGGGACTCGTATTTACGACGCTTTGCAGTGTCCCAGGGTTACATGATCCCCCTTTTGCGACCTCCTGACAAGAACAGTCAGTGGTCACGCCAGATTCACTTAACAACCGTGTGACTAACTTAACAACCGCAGTGATCCACTTCCCAAATGTGGCAGGCAAGGTTGTAAAACAGGGCAAAACTCAGTTAATCAATGTCTCGCTTAGCAACGGTCATAAGTCGAGGGCTTACTTATTTGTATTTGCTTTCCTCTTGCTGGGCCTGTGATTTCCCCTCCCCCCCTTTTTTAGCTGAGGGATCTTCAGTTTAGATGTCTATTCCCTGCTAAAGCTCGTTTCTCATTTTCACACCCTGGCTTTATTCTGTTTATTTTTTGCTTTTAATTGCTGCAAACTACCCTGAGCCATGGAACACGGTTGGAACGGCAAGGGAAGAAAAAAAAATGAGACAGAATACGTTTCCCCTAAACTATGTTTGTTAACCACAGGCAATTGTTTTTATTGTTGGGAGATTTAAACGCCGCTTCCTACTTCGACACAGATTCACTGAAGAACCTTGAGGCAAGTCGCTAATTTTTAACTTAGTTCTCTCAATGAGGAGTTAGAAAGAGAGAAGTTATAAAAGATTCCTCAGCCGTTGAAAGAACGATATATAAACCAAATAGAATCCCCCGCCCAATTTTTTTCCCTCTCTTCCCCTTAATTTATTTTCCCCTTCGCCTCCTATATACCGTATCTTTTGAAGTATAAGATGCACCGGGGTATAAGATGCACCTTAGTTTTTGGGGAGGAAAATAAGAGAAAAAGTTGATTGGCAGGTAGATCGGCATCCCGGAATACCCCCAATCAGCTGTTCCCAGAGGTGAATTTTAGCAACCGGTTCCTTGGTTGTGAGCTCTGTGCCTTGGCTGTTTTTTTTTTTTGTGCTTTATTTTCTGCCTTGGAAATTTCTGAAACACTGTTTCAGAAAAAACTTTTTTTCCTGCCTCTGAAAGCCTCCGAAACAGAGCTTCAGAAAAAAAGCCTCTGAAGCTCTGTTTGAAAGCTTTTTTTCTGAAGCTTTGTTTCTGATGCTTTTTTCAGCCTCTGAAACCTCCGTTTGAGAAGCTGGGTGGGGCTACATTCGCAGTATAAGATGCACCCAGATTTTCACCCCTCTTTTTTGGGGGGGGGAAAGGTGCATCTTATACTCTGAAAAATACAGTGTGTGTATATGTGTGTATATATATATATATATATATACACACAGCGTGTTCCCCCGAAAATAAGACCGAGTCTTACATTAATGTTTGCTCCAAAAGATGCATTAG